AGGGCATATGTAGAGTAGCTGGCTCCCATGGACTTCTTCTGTGCTCTTTGGGCGTAAGGCTACATTTATATTCATGTTTGCAAACAGTGCGTTAACACGGAAATTTAGATAAATTAGATATCTCTGTCTGCGAATATGGAACAGAAGCGGGAAATGAGGTTATGCTATGCAGAGGCGTTGAACATCTCTGCCCCTCTTCAAATCACTGTGTCATTCTCTCATATAAAAAGAGCTGCATAAGATATTCATGTGTGCCAGTAACCTAGATTTTAAATGTTTTATTTGACAGCCTGTCTCCTGTTGCTGCACAGAGCCAATGGGGCCTCTGTTCACTGCTTTGATGTCTGGACTAAGGCTGTGTTGCCATGCATATGTATGAGTGTTTAAATTGCAATGAGTGAGTACATCTTTGTTTTTTTTATGCTTGATACTGATAGCAAGTGGAAAAAGTATTTCTTTTGTGATGCGTTTAAACTAGGCCACCTTCAACGACTTCCTTCCTATGACAAGAAAAGCTTTTTGTACATTTGTCATGTGAAGAGTCTAAAACTTTCAGAGTTCTCAGACCCATTTTAAAATTAAAAAATGCATTTGCGACAGCTTTTCCTGTAGTGGTTAGGCTTGTGTTACGTCCACCAAGGGCACAACATATTTGAGGACACGAGACAAGGATGAGGGTTCAACAAAATATTTTATTCTTAAACTCTCTTGAACTTTAGTTTTTATTTTGTTCAGCTGCTTCGGATTTTCTGTGAAGAAAAAGAGAGTTAAATGCCCTCAGTTTCCCATGTCCCAAAAAAGAAAACAAAACCCCGAAAGTACTAACAAAAAATTGGACCTGGTGAGAAGATCAAACGGAACAAAACGGTACAGCAGGGGGCCAACCCTATACAGGGCCGTCGAAGCCCCTACTAGTACCGGACTAAAGCAAAACAGAACCTAATGCAAAAGAAAGATCGAAAACAGGACAACCGGTCCCACCCGGCCAAAATCACAACAAAAAAACAAACAAACAAAGACTAACAAAAATACCGCATGGCAGGCTGGAAACGTCAGCTGCGGCCCACAGCGACTGGACGTGCGCATCCCCAGTGGTGGTGGAGCGAGCGGAAGTGAGCGGAAAGGCGGTGACCTCTAACATGTCGAAACCCAGCCTATTTATAGGTGGACCAGCAGCGGCACAAATTAATGTAATCAAATGACCAAAAATAAGAAATTATCCAAATTCCAAAATATATTAACAAAAGGTCATTCTACTAAAGTCTATAAGAAAACAAAGGAAAAAATAGACAAAAATCATCATAATGTGCCCGAAGCACATAACACTTGAACTATGTCATTTGAAAAACTTTGAGGCTGCAAGGACAAAAGCAAGAACAGTAGGAAGGATACTAGACACAAGGAAAGGAAAGAAAGATCCGAGAACAAAAGGAAAGGACGGACACAATGAAAAAAGCAAAAGGAAGGAGTAAGAACACAGGAAAAAAACAAAGGAATAAGAAAAAAAGACAAAAAAAAATTAAGAACATAAGGAAAAAATTAATGGGAACAGAAATGAATTTGAAGTAGACTAGAAAGAATGATGGAGAACATAACTTTTAGATAATAAGATAGGGAATAAATCCTAGAAACAAATATTTTTATTTTTTTTTCCTCCGTACTAATTCAGACCTGGAACTCAATGAAACCAAATTCCATGCTATGTCAGACTTTTCGAGGTTCCACAGGAAACCTGATTGCAATCCTCAACGTGCATCAAGTTGCAGCAGAACTGACACTGGTAAGGCTGGTGACCTACAAAACTATCAGAGGCTCCGTTACTGACAGCTTGACCTGCCAGAAGCTTATCACACACTTCGTTGGCACAGGTGTCACCTGGATCCCTGTTTACCGAAGGAGAGGATGTGGTCTGGTGTCCAGCTGTCACTCGAGTAAGATGACCGATTAACACATACCTGTCGACGTGCACACTGATTTTAATACAGCAAAATACACTTCTGGACTATGCACAAAAACATTAAAATTCGGATGAAATAATACAATAACCACAAACCAATTGACAATGAAAAAAATAAAGTGAAGCCTGTTTCTCCTTGTGCGTCGCATACTGTGCAGGTACATCTCGCCACATTAAAATTGACTAGGAAATTACATGTATTTTTTTATAAATCAATTAGAAAACCTAATTGATGTGGATATGGATTCTGTGTGTACATTACCCTGTGTGTAATGAATCTGATATTGATTAGTTACACAGGGGGACACATTGTAACTGAAATGTATTAAAATTTCTGGCAATTTCAATAATTATAGCCCGATACATAGTTTCTCATAAAATTTAAACAAAATATAAGCCCAATAAAAATATATATTTTAAAATATTTGCCTACTGAGTGCTATGCATACTGTTGCTGCTGTGCACTCAGTACTTGACCAGGGCTTTCTTTGCATGAATTACTGCATTGAGGTCATCGGTTTGTGGTGGTATTAAAATGGAAGCCCAGATTGCTTTTAACTGAGGCCTTCGGTTTGTCTGCATTGCTGGGTCTGGCATAATCTCCCTTTCGCCCATAACTCATAGATTCTCTGTGGGGTTAGAGACAGTACGTTTGTAGTATTGGTAAAGGTAAAGTGCTGCTGGAAGCTGAGGGAACCATGGAGGGCTCCAAAATTTCCCGATAGATACCTCGCTGATTTTGGATATAAGAAAACACATTTGACCAGCGCTATCAAATGACATGACTCCCCAAATCATTACTCACTGTAAAATTCACTCTCAACCTCAAGGAAGTGGTATTCTGTGCCTCTCCTGTTTCTAATCCACACCCTGATTTATAAATGTGGTAAGTAATCAAAAGAGGGGGTTTTAGATCTCTGAGCAACAGTTCGGTCCCTTTTCTCCTTCGTCCAGTTAAGAATCCCAGGAAAATCACACAAGGAATAGGACACTTACAGCTCATGAACTGACCAGTCACATTTCACACCTTATGAATTTCCAATCTCTTACCTTCGCTTTGCTTGAGAATCAACTCAACCCTGATGCTTTTTGTCCTCCGCTTAACATTAAATAAATTGCAGACGTCACTCTGTGAACAGTGAGCTTCTATAGCAAAAACCTTCTATTCTATGTCATCAATAGTGACATTTAATTCTTCTCGAAAATATTTCAGGAAGACTAATATGAGTCGGATCCTGTCTAGAAATTTCTTAAAAGTTTCTGTACTTCCTTTAAATTAAGAGCTTGCGATAATTACCACCAGACTTTGCCAAAAAGAAATTGGTTGTGCCAAAACAGAAAAAAAGGAATACCACCAAGATATATGTCAGATGGCTGAGAATGACTTTATGTCTGGATTGAGTGTGCCAGTTGAACATGCTTAATTTGGGTTTCCTACTACTAACAATAGATGCCAAACTCAACATATCATAGTCCATTAGCATTGTTTTAGTCAGACCAACTGTAAGTTGGTCTGAATAAATTCAATACACTTAATGAACTACAGCAATATTGAATTTGATCTCAGGACTACTCAACGGCCACTAAGAGTCCTGGTTGGAAGCCAAGTTGTATTGCAATAAATAAAAAAATGGTGAAATTGTGTGTGAAGATAGATTTTAAAAGTCATAAAACCTGTTACATACGTGCAAAATCCCAGACTTGTGGTTTTGAAGAATAAACCCTATATAGAAGAGTACAAATTTGAGTCAAAACTTTCTTGCTGTGTAGCTGAATACTTTTGTTGTGTCCCAAGAGTTGCAGCTGATAACTGTAGTCTGCTTCCAGTTACAAGCGGATCTCCTGTTCCACATTTGGTTTTTATGTGTCGAGTCTCTGATTGTACTACTTCTTTATACTGAAACACAACTTCTCCTGGACAGCTCCCAAGCAAAAAGTTGTCACAAATGTGATGTAACTAGTTGAAACATGTACTTTTATATTTGAAGTAGGACATTTCTAGTCACCTTTGACAGGTGTTGGTTGTTGGAAAGAACTAGTTCGCTTTGGTCTAGTTCCATATCATTTCTGCTTGACAGTAGCCATCGATATTGCAAGAATTCAGGGTGAATTTTTGTCCAGTTTCTTTAAGGACAAGAAATAAATTTCTACCCTCTTAAAATAGGTTTAAAAAAAATAAAATTATCACAATTAAGATCAGCTAATAGAATCCAACAACACTGTAACCCACAAGAAAGGTTACTTTACATACCTTTAATAGTAAATGGCAAGTTAAGTTAATCCACTTTACTAATACCAACACTACAGAAGTATAAAGGAAGTTGGGCCTGATCAGGAGATTCTAAATTTGGGGGAGCCTAGGTGTGAACAACACAGGAGAGCACAAAATGTATATAAAAAAGTAGAATTTAATATAAACATTTGTGGATCCACATTGTACAAATAAACAAAAATTGCACGCTTAAAAAAAATGTAAATAAAAGAAATAACCCAGTCTTTTTGATGTCTGTCAAATGTTCTTTCCAAGTTTGTTTAGTCTTTCCAATGTGTTTGTGAAATATTTTTTCAATGTTTCACGGCTGGTGACCAGTTGGGTCACCATCTACCGGTTCACTCGGTCCTCTGGGCTGGGGCTCGCCATCCAAGTTATTGTGGGGGTGATCTTGATGTCTCTGGGCACGATGCTTCAAAAGTGCACAATAAAGAAAAAAACAAAAACCTGACCTAGAAGAAGGTCAAAGTAAAGCAACTTAAAATTCAGGATGCTAATATCAACAAAGCTTAAGCAACAATTAAAATTTCAATCGAAAAGTGCCAAAGTACATCTATAACACTAAATCTAACATTCAACATGTGGATTAGAAACCCACATTAGCTCTGACCTACAGAGAACAGAAAGTTCCTAAGTAATAACAGCACTTTACAGCACCATGACATTAACAATGTTGAAATATTAAAACAGAAAAAGAAGTACATTTACATAGAAATAATACAACATACACAATAATAATGATATAAAGTTTACAATACAGTTTTATTTTGTATTAAATTTGAACAGTTATTAGGTATTTTAGCCAATTTTTAGCGAATTTACTGGGCCAACGGCTGAGCGCGTGCGATTACTCACCGATGCTTCAATGCTACACAACTACAGGGGATTTTTCCGTACGTCAGCTGTTAGAACAGAAGCTTTCTGAGATCTAATTTAAAAAAAAAAAACAGATTCACTATTTTGAATTATAAATTCTGCGATACTATTTTAACATTGTCTTACCAATTTCCAGGATTCTTCAAAGAATTTAACGCAATCTTACAGGCAATTTACGGAACAACTGTCAGCTCTGAGCTCTCAAGGGCTTTAGACGCAATCTGAGCTAAATTTCAGCGACAAAGGGGCGGGACAATCAATCTGATTGGCTGATGTGAAATCAGAATGTGCCAGTTATTGGTTGTTTAATCCGTCACTAAAAGCAATCACTAAAGGGATATTTCACAGGTTTTGAAGATTTTTTTTAGCACTTTTTTTATCAATATTTATGAACATATTTACAAACATATAATTTTTTAACTTTTTAATCTCGTTGTAGAATAAGATATTAAATTAATATCTATTCATTTTTTACTTGTGTTTTTAACACTAGGTTACAACACGTTTAATGCAAAATATCAGTGTCTTCATTCACGCCTCCATGAGGGGATTGGAAAGAAGTGGGATTTTGAAGGGATTTGTTTTAAGGATACTTTTTATGTTTAAAATCAAATTCATTTCCCCAACTTTTCATTCATGCCTCAGTCTGACCCACTTAAGTTTGCAAACATTGAAAAAAAAACATATATTTAGTAAAGGATTCTAGATTTTGTTTTTTACCATGGATATTCTGCAAACTTATTTTTTTTCTTGTGACAGTGATTGATTTCAGGTGGAAAATACCAGGTCACTCTGGCAATAAAAGGTCTGTTAAATGAAATGTTATACATCTGATACTGGCTGCCTAATAATTTTCTGAAGATGTCAAGAAAAGATCTTTCAGAGAAAGGATGCAAGCACAATCCCTGCATCATCAAGACAATGCAGTACATTAAAAACATGATCGCTATTAATCTTTGCCAAGGACGACAACAAGATCTTGAAAAGATGGCCTTTAATCATGTTTGTTTTCAGGAGAATGGAGGTTAGTAATATTGTCATTAATTATGTTTGGTGAAAGTTTTGGTTCAAGTTTTATTTTCATGAAACACATGTGAGCACAAATCTAAGAGGAGGCAGAGAAGGTCATGCAACTCTGTATACCAAGCTTGCCTCATTATACGGTCACCATGCATGAATATTTAACTTTCAACTGGGTGTGTGTGCATTGCTTGATGGAAGGGTGAAGGATAATTAAATGTGGGTAGAAGAAGAGCCTTATTCCAAAATGAGAAACCCACCATTTGACAAATGTGACACCCTCTCTGACACAATGATCGCTGACATGAAACTAAAAACTCATTACAGGATATTAATGAAGGTATTAGTCGTCAAAAATTGGATCATTTCTGATGTGGCTATAAATCATCTGTTTTCCTTAAATTTAATGTTAAATGTATCGCAGATAACAATCTACTGCATGCCTTTTCATTTGATATGATTTTTAATTCGAAATTGATGGATTGTATCTATAGAGGCCTTCTGATGGCTCCAACCACGGCATGATGCATTAAGGTCACCTTACGGGCAAATCCCGGGGTTGCCTTTAGAGATATATAAGAAAGATATATGATGATAGAGGAAATGTTTTACTTTAAATCAGCTTATCTTCGGCAGAGTGTGCATGTATGTGTAGGGAGGTATATATCACAGCAGCCTAATCCCACAATCATCTCTCTTCTGTCCCCATCTGAGGCTGGAGATAATGGCCAATTGACATTCACTAGATTGCTGGAAGGATATCTGTCACTCTCTCCACAAATCCATAAAACTTATTTACTTGTAAATGGAATATTTAGTATTTTTGTTGCGATCAAGAAGTCTGCCCATCGAATCATTTTTATGAATACAAATTTGGCTTTACACCTCGACAATAAGGTAATAGTTGCTTTTTACAATTTAATCACATATAGACAGACATGAAATAACTTTTTTATTGATGGCGTGAAAATCTTATTGCTGATTGTGTTTTGTTCAATGTTAGTGGATTGTGTTTTGTTCAATGCAGTAGCAGGTAATTTAATAAAGAAGAAGCAAAAAAAAACAAAAAAAAAACAATAATGAGTAGCAGATTCCTCAAACAGGAAAATGAGCAGACGTCCCATTGTTCTAACAAAGATAGATAGTTTTCTGTCAAGCTCCACAGCAAACGTTGACCCTATGAATAACAGTCGCGCCGTTATGCATGAAAACAAGCAGAAATAAATCAAATGCTTCACTGAGGGATGTAAGTTGATTAATTGTCACCATTTGCATGTGATAGAAAAGAGCCACATTGACGCTGAGGATTATTTGCGATTCAAAGTAAGGTCTATTTATCTTTATAGAACATCTGGATAAAGGTTTTTTTTTTGTTTGTTTTTCTGAGGTTCTCATGCCAATACCAAAGTTTATTTACATATTGGACGTCTTTTTTCTGCAGAATATTCTAAAACATAGGTTTTGAAGGTATAAAATGGTATGAAAATAAACCTATATATATTCATATATACGAGTGCTGTCAATCGATTAAAAAATTCAGTCAGATTAATCACACGCTGGTGCTTTTTATTAATTACAGTTAACTGCTTTGCCTAACTTTGTAAGCTTGAAATTCACACAGTTGTTTAAGCCCCTCCTGCCACAGTTCAACCAATTAAAATGCAAGCAGTTATCAGATTTTTTTTGTAACCTGACAATGTGCGTAAATGTACTTTTTTCCTTGACAGCAATACGCTTCTTTTAACGTCAACCTCCTGGTCCACATCCAGGGAAAAAAACACTGTGCATCACCCTATGGTTGAACAGGGTTGTGGCACCATCATTCTGTGGGGATTTTTTTTTTTTTTTTCCTGATGAAAAAAATTGATCCTAGTGGACATGAATATAGATGATGCTAAATATAATGCTTATAACAGTGATAAAACTGTTTGAAACTCATAAGACCCCAGAGAGGGACACAGGGTGGCAACACAATGATCCAAAGATTTTTATGATTTCTTATGGCCCTAAGTGGGATGTAATCAGTGTATGAAAAATGTATGTTTGAATAAAACATTTTTGGGTCAAGTCATTTTATTAAAATAATAAATTCTGCCCTTGTTATTGCAAAGAGGAAATTAAAGGGAATCAGCCACTTCGTCATAACATTGATTGGTCTACAGATGTAGATAAGCTTACTCAGGTAAATACATATGATATGCACAACAGCTGGATAGAAAAATGCTTTGGATCGAAGAATTTGTAGTCAACAGCACCAGCAGAGGGGGTGGCATGGACATTTGTTGCTGTGTTGCCTTGGATTACAAAAGCAGCTGCTCTTAACAATAAACTGCCACTTGATTCTGATCTTGCAAAAAAAAAAAAAAAAACACTGCATGACCTCTGCGCTTCAGGACAGGCGCATACTTAGCTTTATAAATCACCAATGTAGGTGTCAGACGGCATCCTGGAAATAGCCTATTTCGTGCAGAATGAAAGGCTAATGTCACAGTAATAACTACTCCTGTGCAGATCACACGGTTATACTTTTAGACATTGTTTTGTGTGCTGGGTTCCTGAATTTTTAGTGGCTTCTTTAAATCAAACCCTCTCTTTTTTTCCTTCCACATTTTCACATCAAATATCTCATCTTGTCCGTTTTTGGTTCCTTCACTGTCTAAAATACACCATTAGCCATTTTAAAGAACTGTATTGACACCTAAAGCAAACACCTAAAACTGGGAACTTTTTACCTTTAACCAAGTGAAAACCCACACCATCCAAATGACCTCCGACCTTCCTTGTTTGGACACATCTGGCTGAAAAGCTAATTACAAGGATTAATTTGTGTGTTAGATGCTACTACACAATTACAGCATCAAGCTAATGTTTATATACTTTCTGGGTGTTGCTTTCTGGATGTGTGTGCTCTCAAACCATTAATACGACAGTACTTAGATAACACTGCAACGCCGTTTGGTGAGATAAAGAGGGGGCTGTGATGCAGGATAAATGTGGGACAAAACGGTAACACTTTATATGAAAGGGGTTGAATAAGACTGTCATGACACTGTCATAAACATGACATAACACCTGTCATG